CTTTATAGACTTGAAATATCAAATTTGTTAACTACGATATTATTATACCGCTTTGTATATAAAAGTCAAGGACATTCGTTTAAAATACATAAAAATCTGTTTTTTTAAAGAAATAAAAATTATTTTTAAATTTTACAAAAAAAAATTTTTTTTATTTAAAGTTTTATTAAAGGAATTTTATGGTTTCAAATATATAAAGTGTAAATCTTATACACAAGTACCAATATAAAATAAATAAAGTGTTTTATAGTAACAAGGATTATTTACAAATATGTACTTATATATATAACACATTTGTGTACATACTCATACATACCATATATAGATTGTATATTTTTATTTATAAAATACAAAATAACCCATGTACAAAAAAAAATATTTGATATGGTCAGCACATAATCGACTGCAATGTGTTATTGTCTAGTTTAGTTAAAGTAATGCAGAAGATAAAGAAAATGCGCTTTAAACACTTCTTTAAAATTTTAAGAACGCTAGTATGTTTTTAGTTAACATACCTAGAAAAGAGTAAAATTGGCTCTTAGCAGATTTTTGCTTTGTATTCGACTCGAATTCTCCGAAAAGTTCAACAATTAGTTTCTGCAACAACTTGAACTCAAATATCAAATTTTAAGAAATTTTATCAAGTCGTTCACGTAGATACGGTAAAAAATTTAAAATCGGCCCCCAATTCGGTTTTCGAGCCCTGAACTTTCTTAAAAAATTTATAAACTCAGGGTATTAAATTTGAATATGAAAATTCCCTTTATATACGCAAAAATGTAAAATCGAACAGACCGACAGCCCAACAGTTGACAGTGGTTTGCATAAATTTGTTGCCATCACATCACCTCCCTTATTGTATGCAATCCGATTGGTAAAAAGAAATAGCAAAACATATTTATAAAATGAAATCAATTATTTATTACCCCTCAAAAAACATTCATCCCAGACTCAATTAAAATTATCAAAAAACGAGAGAGAGAAAAAAAAAATTCTCTTAAAAAATAAATGGTAACATTCTACTTTTTATCCAATTTAATATATAAATAACTTTTGCACAATCTTATATTGTTCGAAATTGGAGGTTTTTCTGTTCTTTTTTTTTTATTTTTTATTTTATTTTTGGTATATACGAAGGAATATAAGAGATTAAAAATACCAAATAAATCTCAAAGTTCTATTTGTTCCGGTTTCACAACACAACGTTCTTATTTATTTTTTATACATAGCTGTGTACATACTTTACTTATGTATATATAAGAGAAAAACTTTGATGTTTACACATTGGTGTACGTACATACAGTCGCCTCAAACAAATGGTTAACAACTATACATACAAAGTAAAATATAAAGATTAAAAAAAATAAGAAGAATAAGAAGAAAAAATGAAAAAAAAGCGGTCGATAAATGCACTTTTATTTGCTATCATTTTGGTACAGAACCAATTTTTCGCGTTTCATGCTCTTTTTTTTTTGAAAATTTTCTTATTACATTGCATATACCAATGAATGAAACATAAAAAAAAAACATTTTCCAATTTATTGGATTTTTTGTTTCATTTTAGTTTTTAAAATTTATTTAAAAACAAAAAAAAAGCAAAATATTTTTATAATCAAAATAACAACAAGGCGGCTAATGGTATAAAATGGTAACAAAGTATGTATGTGTGTGTGTGAATGTGCCATATTGCTTTATATTTTCGGTTCAATTTTAAAATTTATTTATAATATTATTTAAAATATATTGTTTTCTCTTGTGTGCATGTGCATGTGTGATTAAATATAAAGTGCAGCTATAGATATGCGGGGCAACAATTGAATTCGATCGGTCAAATTTATTTTTAAAGAGAAAATTTATTGTTTTTTTTTTGTTTTTTCCTTTCTTTTACTTTTTCAATAAAAAATAAATAAAAATTATAGTAAAAATACACTAAATATTTTATGAAAAATAATAAAAATCAAAAAATCATTTATTTTGTTGTTGATGGCTATTTTTGAGAGAGAAATTTTTTTTTTGTTATATTATTTTAAGTAGGTGTTTTTAATTTGTTATTGTTGTTGTTCTTCTTAAAGTGATTTTAATATAATTTCAATATAGAAGAGTGCAACTTGCATATTTGCTTAAATTGCAATCGATTCGATTTAAGAAAAAATTAATAAAAGCGTTTTAGTCGATCTTAACTGGCGGAATTATTTCCTACACCGTGATAATGTGATTATAAAAACTAGTTTTTAAAATATATGAAATTAGGGTTTACGTTAGGTTAGGTTAGGTTGTCGCCATCGAGTTTGGATCCGTCCGTGATCCGTCCACTGCGGTGTATAGACAATAAACCAAGCTTGGTTTCAGGCCCCACCTCTTTCCGACGGCCTTCTTACATGAGTAAAGCGCAATAGTTGCCTTCCTTACTCTCTCCATAACGTTGGACCTCTAGTTCAACTTTGAATCAAGAATTAGACCCAGGAATCAAGCCTCCTTGCTAAAGGATAAGCGGATTCCGTTGAGTGTCGGCGGAGTTATTGTTGGTATCTTATATCTCCTACTGAAAATAACCAGTTCCGTCTTTTGTGGGTTGATAGTCAGCCCACAGCCGACAGCCCAGTCAGACACGAGGCTCAGGACCCTCTGCATCAGCCCACTTAGGGCATGAAGGTGCTTTCAAGGCACCGCAACAGTCAAGTCATCAGCGTAAGCTATCACTTTGTAGCCCTCCCCCTCCAGGCATACCAGTAATTGATTAATTCCGAGGTTTCAGAGAAGAGGAGAAAGCACACCTCCTTGCCGGAGATATAAGCATTGGATTAAGGTTACTCCTTATGTATACGTCCATCAACTTTTCCAATATCTTTAATAGAAAAGACGTTAAACTGATAGGTCTAAGATCCTTTGGTCAGCTGTGAGAACTTTTCCCAGCCTTAGGGATGAAGACCACCTTAGCAACATTTCACCTTTTTGGGAAATAGGTTAAGTCTATATAGCACTCATAGATGATCTTAAGCCAAGGAAGGACGACTTCCGCAGCGCATTGTAGTTCTGCTGGCACTATGTCTTCTGGGCCAGATGACGTAAATAGATCAAAGCCGCGAATAGCCCAGAGTATTTCCCCCTCAATGATCACTGCTCCCCCGCAGGACTCGCCAAAATGACTATTCGGAGCATGCTCTTCGCGACCTTCAGGAAAGTGCGTATCCAAGAGCGACTCCAGAGACTTCGAAGCGGAATTGGTCCAGGAGCCGTCAGCAGACATCAAGTAGCTCGGCACGGCTGGGTCACTTTCACGACCCACCAAGGTCTGGAGACCTCCGTAGTCTTTCCAATCGCGAAACTCCCTCCAGGACGACCTCTGAGCTCTCCTTAACTTCTTGTTATATTTCCTAAGGTCATCCCTATAAGCGCACCAATCAGATGGTGCCCGGTGAACTTCGACTTGTTAAACTGAGTTCTACATTTTTTACGAAGGACGTTTAACCCATCGGACCACCATTAGAAATTAGGGTTTAAGATTGTGTGGAAATTAATCGAAACTGTGTTGAATTATTCGACAAAAAAATTTTTCAAGGATATACCGGAACAATAATTGAATACATGACTACCAGATTTTCATGCCGCTAGTTTTATTAGTTTTTGAAATATTTTAAAAATAATCTTTTTTGAGTTGTATGGCAGCTAGCCGAATCCGTTAATCGAATAGTAGCCGTTCTTGTTAGAAAAGAGGCAATTTCTGAGAATTTGGTAATGTTTGCTTTATTCATTTTTGAGTAACCTTGCGATTGAACGAAAGCACATGTCTTAATCAACGGGAAATTATTTCTGAACTGAAGTTAAAAACAATATTACTACATTTCGACATACAAATTCTCACACCATGTTTTAAAATTTTAATTTAAAATTAATAATGGTGAGTAAAATCAATCATAATCTTAAATTATGTTAAGACCTTTACAACTGAAGACGTTTAATCAGGAAAAATTTTGATGGCAACGACGATTTTGTTAAGTTTCGTGTCAAAATTATATGTAATTGAAAATAATCTATAATTTGGCATTTTTATTTGGATTGGACAAGAATACAGATGTGAAAACAAAAAAATAAATAAATTTGACATTCCGATAATTTGCGCAACAATATAAACAAAAACATTGCTAATTCGTATAAAAAAATTTGCCATTACAAGGAATTTGAGAATTTCCGAAAATTAATTTCTTTTGAATTCGTTGTTAATTCACCACAGTTTTATTAAGGGAAAATAATATTCTAAGAAAGAAAAAAAACAACAAAAGTAAAATGTTCATTTTGCGTCGTCTTCTCAGGAAATTAAAAATTATAGCAATAAAATAAAATTCTTCGTAAAAATTCCTTGTGGCAATTACTAAAATACTAAATGCTTAAGTACAAAATATGCTAATATTGGAAGCTGACAGGAAGTAATTAAAAAGAAATGATTTAATTTTTAAAAGTTAAAAGTTAAAATAAAAATTTATTGTTGAGAATTATGAATAAATTTGACATAATTGTACAAGGTCTATTATAGTTGAGTTTTGACGCTTTTGAGATTTTATCATTCCCATACGAACATTTGTTCGAAGATTGTATTCGTACTGGGATCTTAGAATGAGTATGATAAACTCTACATTTTCTCTATTCGTTTAAGTGCACGTTACGGAATGTCTTAGAATTAGATCATCATAAACGGAACTTTTATAGAAGCTTCTAAGATTCCATGCTCTAAATTGACAAACACTGAATATGAGTTGGTTCTGTTATTCATATTCATGGCTAGAAGCACGCTTTCACTTTGATTTGTTAAAAAAATCAATTTAAGTTTTCTAAATCATTTGAAATATTAGAAATGCATACAATTTAATTCTACTCATATAGCTTTTAAGCAGATAATCCAATTATAAAACTACAAAAGAGAAAATGATTTTGTTTTAAAAAAATTTGCAATATTTTTATTTTTACTTTAAATTTAATATGCATTTTTACCTTTTTACTTTCAGGTACTATTTGAGGCGACGTGCAACGTCCCCTTGTTTTTAACACTGCAACTATACTGTTTAATATTTAAGTTTAGTTATGCTTTGTGCTATAGATAAATATGAAATAAAAAAGGAAAATTATGTAAGTAGTTTACGAGTATTTACAAAATTCACATAACATAATTTTAATTTCCAGTTGACCAATTATGTAGATTTCGTCGACCATATATTACGACATATGTTTATGATACTCTTATGTATAAGAAAATCATGAAAGAAGGTGGTCTTTGTCGTCCCAATACAAAAGCTATAAAAATTCATGTGTTGTTTTTTGAATTTTTGGCAGTAGGTACGTTTTCTCAAGAAATTATGCAAAAATTTCCAAATAAAATTACTCCATGAATTAGGGAAAAATTTTACGATGTATCACAAATTGTCAGAAATACATACATACTTAATTCATCGGTTTAAAAGTACAAAGCACTAAAGGCATTTTTTGAGAATTTGAATTATCAATGTGATATATGTAAGTCAGAAAAATATAATCTCTCTTGTAGCAAAAAATTATGCACGTCTAGAACACAGTTTATTTCAAATTGAATTAACTCAAAACACAGTTTTCTGACTTAGGGCTTTCTGCTTCTTAACCGACGACATTAACTTTCTCTGATCGTACAAATAATATGTCGACTATAGAATTATTTGTTATAAAAACAAGGCTTTTTGGTTTTTGAATTTTTAAGGACTAAAATTACAGTCAGAACACAAATTTTTCTGCAAAATTCTAAAATTCTAAAATTCATCTAAATTTAAATGCCATTAATATACAAAGCTCTCCCATTCAATGCGCATTCATTCATGCTCTTAATTTTTAAATCTTTAATAGGACATTAATCACAAATATTTTCGCATAAAAAATTCAAGACTATATAGAACAAATTAAGCTCATATCTTCTAAAATTTCATTTAATTTCTTGAATCAATTTTAAAATTTAAATGGTTAATAATAATAATAAAAAAATCAGAAATAAGAAAAAAAACTTTATTATAGAAGATGATTTTAATTTTATAGATATTACCAATTTGAATCAATTACAACTCACATATGCACGTACACACATTTCCAGTACAAATTTGTGATAAAATAAATGGAAATAAATTTGCAATTCAATTTATTTATGAGCGAAGTCAGCAAAAAACAAAATTATCTATACCCACATGTTATGTATAAGTATATATAGGAACACACACATTTATATTATAAATTTAAATGTTTAAAATTGACTGACGACAAATAAAAAATTGAACCTTCACTGATAAATCAATCCAATTTTGAATATTAAATGAGAAAATGTCAAACGTTTTATACACAAAAAAAAAATCCTTTACCAAATATTTATGTTTGTACAAAATGTGTATAGTTGCATATAAGTGTGTGTGTACAATGCAAACAAAACATAAATAATTTCCTTTTAAAATTTTGATTTTTATATCCTCCCACTCAATCAATCGCCTCATTTTGAAAAAAAGAAAAAAAAAATTTTAAAAATTACAAAATAAATTTTAAAGAAGAAAAGGATGCCATAGCCAAAACGCATTAAATACAAAAAAAAAACAAGCATAAGTGTATTTTTTTTTTTACAATTGAAACACTCTGAATTCCGTCCGGCCTTCAATCAGTAGCTAAAAAACAAATCGACCAATTTTTGGTTTGATTTTTTTAAATTTTTGTTTTGTTTTTCTGTTTTACGTTGTCTAACAATTCAAATAAACGCTATAAACATCACCGCAGCAGCAGCAGTAGCATCAGCAACAACAGTAAATAATGCTATACATGTGTGTTCCGTTCGATACAGACTGTGTGATAATAGCAAGCAAAAAAGAAAAATCGAAATACTAAACGATAGTATTTTTTTTTTATTGGCTTGTTTTTCTGTTATTTTTGTTGTTTCATTTTTGTTCTCATTTTTTTTTCTTTCATTTTTTCCTGAAAGAAACATGTTAAGTTGAGAGTGCTATTAAATTTGCTGTAGCATGCATTAAAATTGAGTAATGGTTTAATATAATATAGCAGCAAATTTATATAAAATCAGTGGTGATATTTAACTGTTATACGAATAAAATATGGTACAAAAGAGCTCAATTGGTATAAAAGAAATTACTTAACAAAATTACTCAAATTACTTAAATTACTCAAATAATGTTATTTCAGACATTGTAAGTTAAGTATTCAAAATGAGAGAAATTTTTAATCACGATACAGTTGACATCGCCCTGGGATTGCCAAAGTAATTTATAACAAATTTGTAGGAAACGCGTTTACTGTTTAACGATTAATTCGGCGTATTGTCCTCCATGGTTCAAAATTAAAAATTGGCTTTCTTAGATTTTGCAGAATAACATTAATTTGCTAAATTGACAATAATTTTTATTGCCATGTGTATTTTAGTACTCAATTGCAGTTGTTACAGAGATGCCATATGCCCGTAAAAAATCAGTTTGTGTTTTGACAACATCTTTTTAACACTTTTGTGAAAATGAAATTTTTTAAGTTTTACCTTTAATGCGTGCCGATTCTGAAACATTTTTGATATCACCACTGTATGTACTTAACGTACATATGCTTGTTCATACTCATATATACATAGAGAATGTCTACATCCATTAAATGAGAAAATTCTTCGTGTGATAAACGAGAGATCAAAAAGAAAGTTCTTTTAGGATTGTTGTGTTGTTGTGTGTTGGTTGTATCGAATCGAATGTTATTATTGTTGCGGTAGTGAGCAATAAAATAAGTTTCGATTTTCATTTTACTTATTTTTTTTTTTCGTTTTATTTGCTTTTATTCTTGTTAAAAAGCTGTCCGTTGTTATTTTACAGACTGATTTTTTTCTTCTCGATTTTATTTTTCTATCCTATAGGCTTATCTTTTTTTTCCAACTTTGAATAAATTTTTCTTTTTGCTTTTTTTTTTGCTACAAATTCCAATGCATAATACATATAGTAGGAATGTATGTACAATATACATATTGTATGTCATTTACATATTTACACGTTGAATATAAAGATACCAATTCGTTTTTAATATTGACATCATCCGTTTTACTTTTTCATTATTTTGTTGTTTTTTTGTTGAGAGTGAGGAGAAAAACTCTGATTGACTGTGATAGATTTTCCATTTTATTATGGTGTAGGTATTTATGTTGAAACCATTTTATCCACATATTAATTGTATAAAATATTCTAGCTTTGTATGCATATACACACACGTACATATGTTTTGGTTTTACTTTATTTTAACGCCATCTGACAATGTTACTTGAGGGTTGGTTGGTTAGATTGGAATTTTTAGGCAATTGTTTTAGAAATAAAAAAAAAATCGTGAGAAGAGAAAAATTTTTTTTTTCCTACCATTTGATGTTTTTATTTTGTTTAAATTGATGAAGGAAAATAATATACGAGTAGGAACGCAGCAAAACTCAGCTCTAGCTCTATAAAATGGTAAAATATAAAAATTTAAAGCAATAATAAAATTATTGTGTGGTGGTGATTGACGGAATATATGCGAAATAATAAACGCAAAGTCATGAATCTTTTTTTTAACATTCAACAATAATGTTTGTTACAATTCTATGCTCTTTTTTTTTTGATTTGAGAAGTTAATAGGTAAAATAATAATAATAATAAAAAAAGAGAGAGAAAAAAATGAAGAAATAAAAAATGAGGCTGTTATTAAAATAATTTATTTTTATGACTTTATTTTTATGTTTTAATTTTTTATTGATTTTTTCATTTTCGTCTTGTGATTTGTGATTTTTCATTAATTTCATTCAAAATTAGGTGACTTGAAAATTCGCGAATGGTATATAAAAACTTTTGAATTAAATATGGGGTTTGGGGGAGGGTGGTTCGGTTACTCTTTAAATAAGTTAATCTTAGGCGGCAGTAAAATTAATATGATTGTTCGAAAATAATTTATTGAATATTGAAATAATTTTATTATTTTCGATTATTATGATAATTTAAGGTCAAGCATTGTGTAGAGGTTATAGGTTAATACCAAACATTGAGAAGGTTAATTTTATCCTTGACATGTACCTGTTGCGTGAAGTGATTTCATTAAAATTATGCAGTAATAAATTGCATTTTGGTTTCGTTATAATTGCATACAAATATTAAGAGTAAATAAATTTAAATTTACATTAAAAATTCTGTTGAAGTTGGAAAACCCAAATTTAAATATCTTTTTAGGTTGTGAGTTGAGAGAATGAATCTAGAATAAAATATCATGAGCAAATAGAATGTGTTTTGCTAAAATAATTTTATTATAATCATTAAATTGGTCTTATATAAGATAAAATCGAGTTAAAATTGCACTTTGTTCAAAAGTTTTCTTTTAGGTTGTAAAAAATTATAGGAACCCAGTATTTATGATAAAAAGCGAATTAACAAAAAGATTTTGATGTAAAATGTTGCTAAAACGAGTCTATTTTAGTCGCACCGTTAAAAATTAATCAGTTTTTTATTAAGAGCGAAGTTTTTAACGCGACACGTTCTAAGTCTGTTAGCCCTATTATTACAAACTCTTAATTCTATTCAAAATATGTGACTCGACCATTTCTTTGCTATACAAGAACTATTGTTTAACACTAAAAAGAAATGAGCAGTGCGCACCTATTTGAATGAAGTGTGAAATAGTTTATGCCTTATGTATAAATGCTACACAGTTGAAACCTTTTATGCTTAATGAATTTAATGAGGTATTATACCTAGTGAATTTCATTTTCTTGGTGCAATCTAAACCGAAGTTGTGCGAATCAAAGAAGAACTGTTTCAGAAAGATTAAATAGTTCTAGTGTATTTTGCTTTTATAAACGGAGCTATTTTTATCCAACCACGTTATAATTTTTTTGTTTTGCATATATTTAGGAGGAGAATAAACAACTAAGAGAATTTCTAACAATATATACAGAACAAATTAGTGTAATGATAACATAGCCTTTAATTTGCCGAAAATACTAAGCTGTTTTCTATACTGATGTGTTTTTTTGTGTTTTGAAAGAACTTTATATTTTAAAGCTGTCAAATAAACGAGTGTCTAAATTTAAAATTTTGCTGGTTTCGAGTAGTAAAAAATCCAAGAGCCGCTGTAAAATGC